TTTACTGGTTTTGGTTTTCTAGAGAACTCAGCCTAAGACATTTGGTACTGAGAGTGGTTCTACAGAAACAAAATTGTAAGGATGAGTTTTCTAAATTGGTTCTCAAATCTGGTTAGTGTTAAAGATGTTGATGACTCTGCTTCCAGTATTAAAGAGGGTACTGCTAATCATGGCATGAGGAGGCAATACAAATATGCAAAATACCATCACCAGTAGATTAGGTATTGGTGAAAGGCAAGGCTCTGGGTGATTGCATGTGTGATACTTTTATACACTTTGGAAGTAATGAGAAGCGTAAGGAAGCTGGTTGATTGCTGCTACTTTTGGTAGACAAACTGGTAAAAGAAAGAGATGAGCTCAGGGCTTTAGAGTCAAAGCTCAAGTGCCGCATAAACGACCTCAAAGTTTCCACTTGTGCCTTGAAAGAAAGCCTTATTTCTTGTAGTAATAGAGCTGAGATTGCCGAAAACCAAACCCAGAGTCTTATCATAAGACAGGCTGAATTATGACACCAATTAATTGCAAACCTCAAGAGGTGTCTGAAGTTAAAGTGAGGGCATTGATTGGGAAGAAATGGAATCTGGAAATTTGGGATGGAGACATATGAGCAGATAATCAGGAAGCTGGAGACATTGAGCCCCTAAATTCTATTCAGTCACGCCTGCCAACAGAACCAGCCCTATCTCTCCATTGTGAAGAGATTACTCCATTTGTCTGCTAAACCACCCTTCCCAGTAAAACCATTAGCCCCTCCACCCCATCTAATGAGATTAACCCAGCTGTGTCTAAAGAACCTTTGTCTGAGTCATTGCCTGGGGCATCACCTGAGGCAGCTGCTTTACAAGACAATGCTGAATGTTCTTAAAACACTTCCCCACCACCGATTTTGGCTTCTATGTTTCAGACGTAAACCTGGAGAATATATGTGGGAATGGCTATTAAGAGTGTGGGATAATGGTACAAGGAACATAAAGATGGATCAGTCTGAGTTTATTGATATGTGCCCACTAAGCACAGATTCTTCATTCAGTGTTTCAGCTCGAGAAGTTAGGAAAGTATCTAATACTTTATTTGGTTGGGTCACTGAAGCATGGATTACACAGTTGTTAGGTGCCCTCGAGTCAGTTCTGACTCATGGGGACCCCATGTACAAGAGAATGTAACATTGCCCAGTCCTGTGCCATCCTCACAGTCCTTATGCGTGAGCCAATTGTTGCAACCACCGTGTCAATCCATCTCCTTTATGATATTCCTGTTTTTCTCTGACCCTCTAATTTACCAAGCATGATGTGCTTCTCCAGGAACTGATCCCTCCTGCTAACATGTCCCATGTATGTCAGATGTTATCTCACCATCCTTGCTTCTAAGGAGCATTCTGGCTGTACTTCTTCCAAGACACGTCTGTTTTTTTCGCAGTCCATGGTATATTCAATATTCTTCGCCAACACAATTCAAAGGTGTCAGTTCTTCTGTCTTCCTTGTTCATCTTCCAGCTTTCCCATGCATATGAGGAGATTGAAAACACCATGGCTTGGGTCAGGCACACCTTACTCTTCAGGGTGACATCTTTTCTTTTTAACACTTTCAAGAGGTCTTTTGCAGCCCAATGGAATGCATTGTTTGATTTCTTGACTGCCGCTGCCACGGGCATTGATTGTGGATCCAAGTAAAATGAAATCCTTGACAACTTCAATCTTTTCTCCGTTTATCATGATATTGCTTACTGGTCCATTTGTGAGGATTTTTGCTTTCTTTATGTTGAGGTGTAATCCATACTGACGGCTGTGGTATTTGATCTTCGTCAGTAAGTGTTTCAAGTCCTCTTTACCTTCAGCAAGCAAGGTTGGGTTGTCTGCATATCCCAAGTTGTTAATGAGTCTTCCTTCAGTCCTAATGCTGTGTCCTTCATACAGTCCAGCTTCTTGGATTATTTGGCCAGCATACAGATTTAATAAGTATGGTGAAAGGATACAACCCTGACACACATCTTTCCTAACTTTAAACTATACAGTATTCCTTTGTTCTGTTCCAACAGCTGCCTCTTGATCTTTGTATAGGTTCCTCATGAGCACAGTTAAGTGTTGTGGAATTCTCATACTTCGCAGTTGTTATTGATAATTTGTTATGATCCACACAGTCAAATGCCTTTGCATAGTCAATAAAACACAGGTAAACATCTTACTGGTATTCTGTGCTTTTAGCCAGGATCCATCTGATATCAGCAATGATATCCCTAGTTCCACGTCCTCTTCTGAATCCGGCTTTAATTTCTGGCATTTTCCTGTAGATGTACTGCTGTAGCCACTTTTGAATGATCTTCAGCAAAATTTTACTTATGTGTGGTATTAGTGATATTGTTTGATAATTTCCACATTCTGTTGGATCACCTTTCTTGGGAATAGACATAAATGTGGATCTCTTCTAGTTGGTTGTTCAGGTAGCTCTCTCCCAAATTTCTTGGCATACATGAGTGAGCACTTCCAGTGCTGCATCCATTTGTTGAAACATCTCTGTTGGTATTCTGTCAATTCCTGCAGCCTTGTTTTTTTGCCAATGCCTTTAGTGCAGGTTGGACCTCTTCCTTCAGTATCATTGGTTCCTGATCATATGCTACCTCCTGAAATGGTTGAACGTCAACCAGTTCTTTTTGGTATAGTGACTCGGTGTATTCCTTCCATCTTCTTTTGATGCTTCCTGTGTTGGTTAGTATTTTCCCCATAGAATCCTTCAGTCTTGCAACTCAGGGCTTGGATTTTTTCTTCAGCTCTTTCAGCTTGAGAAATGTTGAACATGTTCTTTTCTTTTGGTTTTCTAACTCCAGTTCTTTGCACATATCATTATAATACTTTACTTTGTCTTCTCATGCCACCCTTTGAAATCTTCTGTTCAACTCTTTTACTTTATCATTTCTTCCTTTTGCTTTAGCTACTCGATGTTGAAGTGCAAGTTTCAGAGTCTCTTCTGACATCTATTTTGGTCTTTTCTTTCTTTCTTGTCTTTTTAACGATCTTTTGCTTTCTTCAAGTATAATGTCCTTAATATCATTCCACAACTCATCTGGTCTTTGGTAATGAGTATTCAAGTGTCATATTTATTCTTGAGATGGTCTCTAAATTCAGCTGGGATATAATCAAGGTCATACTTTGGCTCTCGTGGGACAACTTGGTCATTAGGCATTATATATAGTTCATAAAGTTTATGTTCTCCATCCTAGTTTGGTGAGTAGTGTCTGGGGTCTTAAAAGCTTGCAAGTGGCCATCTAAGATACAGCTGCTGGTCTCTACTTGTCTGCAGCAAAAGAGAATGAAGGAAACCAAAGACTCAAAGAAGAAACTAGTTTACAGGTCTAGTAGCCCATACAAACCACGGCCTCATTTATCCTGAGACACGAAGTAGATAGTGCCTGGCTACCACTACCAACCATTTTGACCAGAAACACAATAGATAGTACTGGATAGAATGGAAGAGAAATATAGAACAAAACTCAAAGTCTTAAAAAAGGCGAGACTGGACTGTTAGAGACTAGAGGAATGCCCAAGACTGTCATCCTCGGATACCCTTTAAACTTGGAACTAAACTGGCTTGTAAAATAAACAGTATCAACCCTGAGTACTGTGGTCTTCTAACAAAATCACATATATGAGATCAAATGGTCAACATTTACCCTAAAGCAAAGATGAGAAGGTAAGGGGTCGGGGAAGCAGGGAAGCTAGAGTGATGGAAACAGAACAAGCAGAATGGAAATAATGAGAAGGTTGACACATTGTGAAAAATGTAACCGATGTCACTGAACACTATGTATGGAAATTGCTAAATGTGAACCTAATTTGCTGTGTAATCTTTTCACAAAAAACACAATAAAATATTAAATTTTTTTTTTTTAAAAGCTTGGGAAGTCTGTCCAGACAATGTAGTTTCAAATACCAGCTCTTCTGTTTCCTCCCTGTGTGATCTTGGGCAGATTACTTAACCTAGTGGTTCTCAAACAGGATGATTTTGCCTCTACCCCACCAAGGGACTTTTGGCAATGTCTGGACTCATTTTCTGTCGTCACAACTGGGGGTCAGGTACTACTGGCATCTTAGTGAATGGCGGGCAGGGATGTTGCTTAACAACCTGCAATGCACAGAACAGCCCCTACAACAAAGACATCTGGCCCAAAACGTCAGTAGTACTGAGGTTGAAAAATCCTTTTTTAACCTTTTCAAACCTCCATTTTCTCACTCATGAATTGGGGTTAGCAGTAGTACATATTGTTTTTGTGATGATTAAATTAGATAATCCATGTAAAATGCTTAGCATAGTGCCTGGTACATGAATGTTATGTTAATATAATTATTATCAGCATCATTATTATGACTATCATTATTACTAGTCTTGATATTTAGACTTAATTAGAAGAACATGCTGTCTGCTGTTTGTAGCTGTGTAACGAGGGAAACTCATTTGTTTCTTTCATTTGATGAAAAAGTCTGTGGAACAGAGAAAAATGCGGAATGGAACAGAAGAGACTCTTCTTGCTTATGTAGTCAAAGAAGATAATCAATAATTAGGTGACCACTATACTTTCTTCCGAGTTCTATGAAATTGATGCTCAATCCTGTTTATGTAAACAGCTTTCCTGTTCACATTAATGTCTTTTTTCTCTTTTCTTTCTGCACTATATTGCAAAGCCTTATACTTCCCTTACTTTCCACATCTTTTGGGGTTCCAACCTCAATCTTTTCTGGTTATTAAGGACTTGGGAACCATTAAACTAATTGAAAGCATTGGCTAGGACAAAGCATTGGTGTATTTGAAAGTAAAAGTTATGCTACCATTATAGATTATTCATATGGTAACAAAATGAGCTACTTAAGTGTTCTCTGAGTTTTCAAACCTACAATTTTCATTTTGTAATTATACTAAGGAATGCTGGAGCAAACTCCAAACTCCTGAACTTCACTTAACCATAAATTCATTCATATTGCACTGATACTAATTACTTTTTATTTTTTAAGGCAAATGCAATAGGCCGAAGTGCTAAAACTGTTAGAGAATTTCTAGAAAAGAATTACACAGAAGACGCTATGGCAAACGACAACGAAGCTATCAAATTGGCAATAAGAGCTTTGCTAGAAGTAAGTGATCTAATACAGCACATTCAATAAATTGTGTTTTGTGTTTTTCATCCAATTTTTTATTAAAACACAAAATTTGCTAAAGTAATTCTAATATTGCACTTGTTCTATGTTAGGTTGTCCAATCTGGTGGAAAAAACATTGAACTTGCTGTAATAAGAAGAAATCAACCTTTGAAGGTAAGTCATTAACTGTTGTTAGGTGCTGTCAAGTCAGTTCTGACTCATAGTGATGCTATGTACAACACAATGAAACACTGCCTGGTCCTGAGCAATCCTCACAGTTGTTGATATGTTTGAGGCCATTCTTAGAGTCACTGTGTCAGTCCATCTCCTTGAGGGTCTTCCTCTTTTTCGCTGGCCCTCTGCTTTACCAAGCATGATGTCCTTCTCCAGAGACTGGTCCCTCCTGATAACATGTCCAAAGTACGTGTGATGAAGTCTCACCATCCTCGCTTCTAAGGGCATTCTGGCTGTACTTCTTCCAAGAAAAATTTGTTCATTCTTCTGGCAGTCCATGGTATATTCAGTATTCTTTGCCAACACCATAATTCAGAGGTATCAGTTCTTGTTAGGTCTTCCTTATTCATTGTCCAGCTTTTGCAGGCATATGAGTCAATTGAAAATACCATGGCTAGAGTCAGGTGCACCTTAGTCCTCAAAGTGGCATCTTTGCTTTTTAACACTTTAAAGAGGTCTTTTGCAGCAGATTTGCCCAGTGCAGTGTGTCTTTTGATTTCTTGACTGCTGCTTCCATAAGTATTGATCATGGATCCAAGTAAAATGAAATCCTTGGCAACTTCCATCTTTTCTCCATTTATCATAATGTTGCTTATTGGTCCAGTTGTGAGGATTTTTGTTTTCTTCATGTTGCGGTGTAATCCATACTGAAGGCTGTGATCTTTGATCTTCATCAGTAAGTGCTTCAAATCCTCTTCACTTTCAGCAAGCAAGCTTGTGTCATCTGCATAATGCAGGTTGTTAATGAGTCTTCCTCTAATCTTGATGCCGTGTTCATCTTCATATAGTCCAGCTTTTCGGATTATTTGCTCAGCATACAGATTGAATAAGTACGGTGAAAAGATACCACCCTGGTGCACACCTTTCCTGATTTTAAACCACGCAGTATCCCCTTTTTCTGTTGTAACAACTGCTTCTTGGTCTATGTACAGATTACTCATGAGTACAATTAAAAATCTGAAGTTCCCATTCGGCACATTGTTATCCATAATTTGTTATAATTCACACAGTCGAATGCTTTTGCATAGTCAATAAAACACAGGTAAACATCTTTCTGGTATTCTCTGCTTTCTGCCAAGATCATCTGACATCAGCAATGATATCCTTCATTGCATGTCCTCTTCTGAATCCAGCTTTAATTTCTGGCAGTTCCCTGTCGATATACTGCTGTAACTGTTCTTAAATTGTCTTGAGCAAAATTTTACTTGTGTGTGATATCAATGATATTGTTCGATAATTTCCACATTCTGTTGGATCACCTTTCTTTGGAATGGGCACAAATATGGATCTCTTCCAGTCTGTTGGTCAGGCGGTTGTCTTCTAAATTTCTTGGCATAGATTAGTCAGTGCTTCCAACATTGCATTTGTTTGTTGAAAAATCTCAGTTGGTATTCTGTCAAATCCTTGAGCCTTGTTTTTCACCAATTGCTTCAGTAGTCATTAACTGAAGAGGAGAAAATGTCTGTAGTATAAAGAATTTTGACGAAAGTAAAATATTGTTGATCAAAAGGAAATGTTATTGACACCTGTGCATCTCAGTTATAAGCATGAAATATTCATTAGTGTGCGTTGATACCATGATGACTTCTGTTTTGTTTCTGTTGGCTAATATTCACTAATTTGTATGTCCTTATTGCAATCCTTTATGTACCCCTTTGTGAAGACATAGAGATGCTGAGATCTCTATGTCTACCCCATTTAGTACATGTTTCTATAAGTAGGAACCCCTACTGAACCAGTCCTATATGAGGGTCTCTATAGTATATCGCTATGGAGAGTCATTCCTTGCATCATATACTGCAGTCACTTTCCCTTTCTCTTCAGATCTTTTGCAATTATGCCATGTTTCCAGCCAGTGTCATTGAGCTCCCATTTATATAATTATTGGCCCTCCAGACTTCTGAAATAATGTTATCCTTCATAATGTCAAAAAACAAAGATAAACATGCATTTGTTCCTGATTATCTGTTCATCTTCTGTTTTCTCAAATTTTCCTTGAAGGTGCCTTGAGTCTTTGTAAGACTTGAATTTTAGTACCTAAGCTTGTAACCTTTCTATATTTCTTTGTGGCATGTCTAATTACTTATATACCTTTTATCAGCCATTATGGTTAAACTACTAGACCACAAAATAAAGTGTTCAGAACAGTGTGATGAGTAAATTGTTCAGAACGTTGTGATAGAGGAGTCATTGGCTAAAGAGCATTGAAATGTGGTTTACTATCATTCGTTAGGTAGAACTGTACAGTATAGTAGTTTGCCAGCTAGGTCTCTTCAGCCGAGTGTGCACAAAAGCACTCAAAGCATGGACATCTATAGTAAAGTATATTATAAAGGTTGCTTTATATTTACATTTTGTTTTAAGGAAAATATTTCAAGGAGCAATAGTGTTAAAATCGGTGCTGTGTGGAGCAGTGGGTTTTTCTTTTGTTGTTGTTGCTTTGATATCACTTTTCTACCTTTTATTATTCAACAAATGGATGAGGATTCAAGGATAGGACAACAGCAAAGTTTCGATAAATAAGAGAAACAGGAGCAGGCCAGTGACATCTGCCCCTGCGTGATCCCACATTAACAACCAGGTTGCTTGATCAGAGTGTGGAGATGGAGACTGGTCTGTAAAGTTGCCCATACTGCGAGAGTCCAGGGGACAGATGTGCTAACACCACAGGGACACAGAAAACACTGAGGCCAGAGTCTCCTCTACATCCATATCTCATACATACATACACAAATTGATAGATACAGACACAGTTAAACATGTATTTTTATTTATGAACGGTTGATTGGTGTTTGTTCTGGCACTATCATTCAACATGGTATTTCAGGATAGGCTCTAGGACAGAGTCTCTAGAGCATAGCCTTTAGAGTTGAAATGACCTGGGTTTAAGTTCCAGCAGAAACATTTGTTTAACAGTATGACCTTGAGCAGATTATTCCCATCTTTAATATTCAGTTTATTCATGTGAAAAATGAGGCTAAAAATAACTACCTCAGAGGGTTGTTGTTATAAGTAAATGAGAGAGCATGAGATATTGGTATGTTAGGTGATACACATAATAGATGCTCATTTAATGGTACTCTTAAATTTATTTTATCTTTAAAGGAAGATATAATATGCCTTTATGTGTTTACATATATATTGGACAGGGAGAATGAATATATACCAGAATTTGGTCAGTTTTAGAGTCATTCTGGCTAAAAGCAGCTACTGTGTCTTTTTACCTTTGATGAAAAATTCTAAAAGAAGAATCCTGACATTGTTCTTCTCCAAATCTGCCTAATTTTTTTTAATAGTATCTTATTCTTTTTACTTTTTATTATGTGATATCTTTAATCATTTTATATGTACTTATAGTATCGATAGTATACAGGATGAGTTTAGTATACAGATATGTGAGCGATAGGTGTATACTTTTGGACGATAAGCTCATATTAAATGGAACTTTATTTGTGAGTACCTCACGCAGCCTGGTTTGTAGGAAAATCTCTTCAAGACTGTTTTGAGTTTGCTTCTGTAAGGTACCCCAGGGTTATTACCCACTCAGGAGCAATTTTTATGTCAGTTTCTCAACTTGAGAGTGTATAGAGTATGCAGATAATAAACATTTGAACCAAACCTATGTGAAATGAAAATATAATTATTGAAATTTTAAATAAGTAGTTAAATGTAATATGCAGGTAGATTTCTAGTTAAACATAGTGAATTGATTACGTGTGTTTCTTTCCCTCTCTCAATCTCTACAAACACAACTAAACTGGCAGTAAAAGGAAGCAAAAAAGACATAAATCATAAACAAAAGAACACAAAAAAAGGATCATAGTAAACAAAAGAGAAAAAAGGTATAAACCGTAAAGATCTCTCATGAGTGATGTCAACATTTTTTTAAAGATGGGAAGCAGAAGATGAGTGTATCTGATTTAGTAGAACAGAGGAAAAAGAAACCTTACTGCCTACATAGGGGGTTAATGATGATAGGCAAAATCCCATAAAAAATCAGGACTTGTTGGAACCAGGTACATTTAGTTTCCAGTGTTACGGGTGAAATAAGATGGAAAAGAGCTAAAGCCAGAGGCTAAAAACAGATTGGTTGAACATCTGTGCAAAAAACAGACAGTCAGATTTCCCTCTCTCACCCCATGAAGCCAGTTTGATTATCTTTCTACCTCCCTACAAGTGATCAGAGATTACTAAATGGTCAGACCTTCAGACCTCCTAGCCCCAGTTCATGCTTTGTTTCTAGAACACAGTATTTATCCCTTAGCAGAAGACTGGAAGATTTCTCTCTGGAGAAACTAAATAACTCTTAAAAAAAAAAAAAAAAAGAAAGCCTACAGTAACAGTAAAAAAATGTCCAGTCTTAACCTCACCACCTGATCAACATGCAGGGAGCCCACTAGTTGATTTCCCTCACTATATACATAGAGGTTCCATTCACTTTTTAGTACTTCACTCTAAACATGAATATTAAAGTTTAGCAAAGGATCTCCAGATATTATGAAAAATAGACTAAAACAGAGAGAAAGGGGAACGGGGGGAACAGGCATTACAGGACGCAAAAGAAATCTAAAATAATAGCAACACAAAAACTATGATTAATAACCTCAGAAAGATGAGAGAACATTAAAAAAAAGAAATGGAACTCAGAAGTACTCTTGGAAATTAAGAATAAATAGCCAGAATTAAAAGCTCAATAGGAAAATTAGAATTAAAAGTAAAATCAAGGAAATCTCCTAGAAAATAAAACACAAAGATGTAGAGATAAACAACCAGAGAAAAGATAAATTAGATCAGTGCATGAAGTCTAGCAGCTGAGGAAGAAAGAGAAAACAGATTTAAGTGGGGAGAAAAGTCTTCAAAGAAATAGGAAAATTTCCTAGAACTGTAGGATGTGAGTCTCTAAATCCAAAGGTCTCAGCAAGGACTTAGCACAGTAAATGAAAAAGATTCATCCACAGATATTCATCAAAAGGTTTCAGAACACCGGGGATAAAGAGATCTGAAGAACTTGGAGGAGGTTCAGGATACATAAAAAGAAAAGGGAATCCGAGTGGCACTGGAATTCTCACAGCAGCATTGGAAGCTAGAAGACAACAGAGCAGTGTTTTAAATGCTGAGCAAAAATGGTATTCGACCTAGGATTCTGTGTCCAATCAAACTTAATCAAGTATAAGGGAGAACAGAAACACTCTTTGACATGCTAGGTCTTAAAAATATTATCTCCCTGGCATTTTCAGGAAGCTACTAGAGGGTGTATTCCAGCAAAACAAAGGAGTAAACCAAGAAAGAGAAAGGCACAGGTCCCAGGAAATAGTGATTAAAACACAGGAAAGGGAAGTCCTAGGGAGCAGCTGTTACAGATTAAAGTAGGAAGTCAGAAGCATACAGTGAGAAATCTCCAAAAAAATTAAATTGTTGGGAACTGTACTTGAACTTTTGAAAAAATTGTTAGTTGGTATATGATTAATCTGCTGGAACGTTTGGAAAATTTTAGCAATAGGCATATAGAACACTAACCAATGATTAAAAGGAAAAAAAAAAAGGCCTCTATCTGCTTCAGGAAACAAGAATTTATATGAGAAAGGAATGTAAAAATATACTACTTGTTTCAGCAGTGAACAATAATTATTTAATCATAATACTACTATAAAAAACTATTCATATAAAAATATTGTGTTATAAGACTATTTTGGAGGAGAAAGATAACTAAAAACCCGAACTCACTGCCGTCCAGTCGATTCTGACTCATAGCGACCCTGTGGGATGGAGTAGAACTGCCCCATAAGGTTTCCAAGGCTGTAAATCTTTAGGGAAGCAGACTGCCACATCTCTCTCCTGAGGAATGGTTGGTGGATTCAAACTTTCAACCTTTTGGTTATAGCTGAGCATTCTTACCACTGCACCTCCAGGGCTCCCCTTGAGAATGATTCCAAAAACTAAGCCAAACCTGTTGCCATCAAGTGGATTCCGACTCATAGTGACCCTATAGGACAGAGTAGAACTGTCCCATAGGGTTTCCTAGGAGCCACTGGTGGATATGCACTACCAGCCAAGCTCTTAAGCACTGTACCACCAGGGCTCCTGAGAAAGATGAAGGGGATGTAAAATAGCTGAATTCTCATCTACTATATTAGATAATGTCTAAAATAAAGAATTAATAGTGAAATCATAATACTTAAAAATATGAAGATAAAAACCAGAAGACACAGCTGGAAGAGTTGAGTGTGCTTGCCTCTGAGTAAAGGGTGGAAGGGAAGCGGGGTGGGGCAGAGCAAGGGACCACTATATTTCATTATAAGCTTTTTAGTACCATTTGATTATTATAATTATGTGCATGTAGCACAAGTAAAGGGCTTAGTTTGGTGTAGTTGGCTACCTCCTTAATTTTGAAATGTTCACTAGCCTGGCCCCATTTTTTAAAAAGTCTTCTTCGACTTCATTTCCAGGTAGTGTCACTTTGTATTTTGTGTTCCCACATCACTTTGTTCAGGTTTTTATTGCAACATAATGATTTGTTTATATGTCTGTTTTTCCCACTAAACTGTGGACTTGTTGGTGACGGGAACTGTATTATTATTCTTTATTTTTTAGATCCCATGTTACTCCCAATAATTGCTTCATAGATAATCCACTTCATAAAATGTTTAGATTATATCTTATATAGAGATTATTGACAAGTATAGGCATTCCTACACACATCTTATTGGTGAAATGAAAAGAATTTTGGAGTTGGGTCATCTGGTTTTTAACTCTTTGTCAGTCTTTGGCCAAACCACTTAATTTCATGGGTCTCAATTCCTTATGTGTAAAGTCTGGTGTTGTACTAATCGCTAAAAACACTCCCATCACTAACATGTTTGAAACTTTGTCGTTTCATGAAAGTTGATTATTCATTTGTTTGTTTTATAGATAATCTTTTTTCAGTATTAAGATCATTACATTTAGGTCTTTATATACAAATTTCTTAACTTCAATGAAATATTCTTATAGCAGCAATCATGTAGCCTTGGATCCATTCAGAAGCAGTAGAACAGACAAAATTATATTGTGAATTCTTAGAAACTAAAAACTCTTTTTGCTTTCTGCTTAGTGAGGGAGAAGTAAACAGAAAAGTACAAATCATCTTTCCCCTACCTCTCTTGGCTATTCTTTAAGCTGATAAAATAGTTACATCCTATCAGAGAAGCACATAGTATGGTGCAGGTGGAGGGGGTTTCAATAATGAGTTACTTGCTCATGGACAAGGGGCCCTGGTGGCACAGTGGTTAAGCACTCGGCTGCTGAAAGGTTGACGTTTGAATCCACCCGCCGATGAGAAAGATGTGGCAGCCTGCTCCCATAAAGATTTACAGTCTTGGAAACCCTATAGGGTCGCTATGAGTGAGAATCGACTGCATGGCAATGGGTTTGATTTTTTGTTTTTTTTTCTTTTTGCTCATGGATAAGAATAAGCCTTGTGTTAGAATGTTTTCAGAGTTACATACATATATAGGATATACAATGCAATATCACATTTGCCTTGCATTCTTTTTTAGCACAATGATAGTGGATATGTCACAGTTCTGATTTTGTCCATAATTGTTACAAGTGTGTTGCTTTTGAATCTTTTAAAACATTTAATTACATATTTGAAGCTGTAAAGTATAGTTATAAGTAGAAAATATAAGTCTGTAAAATATAATTTGGTTCCTTCATATTGTAAATATTTAAAAACTATTGGCATAATTCAAATTGATTTTTTAAATTTTTTCTCATTGTAGATGTTTAGTGCTAAAGAAATTGAATTGCAAGTAACAGAAATAGAAAAGGAAAAGGAAGAAGCAGAGAAGAAGAAATCAAAGAAGACTGTCTAATTCTTAGGATGGACACTGAGAGTTTTTAATGTTTTGTTATACTGTTTAGAATTAGTGAAGTTTTAGAGGAGATAAGTTACTTTGCGGCATTAAATTTGCTACGATATTTTGAGACTAACATATTTATGGCTGTCTTCAATCCATTACATGGACAAAAGTAGATTAGTATGAAGATTTTCTCTGAAAGGATACTAGGAAAAAAGATTTTTAATTAAAAAATTAGTAATTGGTGAAGTTTGAATGTTGAATTTTAGTTAGAGATTTCTGTTTACATTTTTCACTGTAAGTTGTAGTATATTGTTTCGCTCATTGAAAGGCTAATCAAAATAGGCAGTTAAAGTGTGGTAAGAGTTTATAAAGATATTTGAACAGAATGCTGTATGAACATAAGAGAAATGAGTACATATATTCTTAGTTTAGATTTCTATTTTAAGTATGTATAGTATGTTAGGTTTGTTACATGTTCCTTCTGTGTACTTACTATGTTCTTGGCGTACTGTGCTTATTTAGAGGAACAAAAGAAAAATAAAAAGTAATCCCTACCTACAAAGAGGGTTTAATCCATATGATCCACAAAAAAGAATGTTCTTAAGGCCTGTAAGGAGGTTACATTTTGGAAAATAAAGGATATTAATAGTTACAAAAACAAAAGCCAATTGTTGTTGTTGTTAGGGGCTGTCGAGTCATTTCCGACTAATAGTGACCTTATGTACAACAGAACGAAACACTGCCCGGTCCCGTGCCATACTCACAATCTTTGCTATGTTTGAGCCCACTCTTGTAGCCACTGTGACAATCCATCTCATTGAAGGTCTTCCTCTTTTTTGCTGACCCTCTACTTTACCAAGCTTGGTGTCCTTCTCCAGGGACTGGTCTCACCTGATAACATTTCCAAAATACTTGAGATGAAGTCTGGCCATCCTTGCTTCTAAGGAGCATTCTGGCTGTACTTCTTCCAAGACAGATTTGTTCGTTCTTCCGGCAGTCCATGGTATATTCGGTATTCTCCAGCAACACCATAATTTATATGCATCAATTTTTTGGTTTACCTTAATCGTTGTCCAGCTATTACATGTGTCTGAGGCCACTGAAAATACCATGGCTTGGGCCAGGTGCACCTTAGTCCTCAAAGTGACATCTTTGCTTTTTAACTTGTTAAAGTGGTCTTTTGTAGCACATTCGCCCAATGCAGTACCTTGTTTGATTTCTTCACTGCTGCCTCCATGGGTGTTGATTGTGAATCCAAGTAAAATGAAATCCTTGACAACGTCAGTCTTTTCTCCATTTATCATGATGCTCCTTATCGGTCCAGTTGTGAGGATTTTTGTTTTCTTTCTGTTAAGGTGTAATCCATATAAAGGCTGTAGTCTTTCATCTTCATCAATGAACGCTGCAGGTCCTCTTTGCTTTCAGCAAGCAAGGTAGTGTCAACTGCATATTGTAGGTTGTTGATGAGTCTTCCTCCAATCCTGATGCCCTGTTCTTCTTCATATAGTCCAGCTTCTCAGATTATTTGCCCTGCATACAGATTGAATAAGAACGGTCAAAGGATACAATCCTGACGCACACCTTTCCTAATTTTAAACCATGGAGTACCCTGTTGTTCTGTTTGAACAACTGCCTCTTGTTCTTTGTACAGGTTCTACACGAGCACAATTAAGTGTTCTGGGATTCCTTTTCTTCTCAATGTTATACATAATTTCTTATCCACACAGTCTAATGTCTTTGCATAGTCCATAGAATACAGGTAAACATCTTTCTGGTATATTCTGCCTTCAGCCAAGATCCATCTGACATCAGCAATGATATCCCTGGTTCCTCATTCTCCTCTGAATCCAGCTTGAATTTCTGGCAGTTCCCTGTTGATGGACTCTTGCAACTGTTTTTAAATGATCTTCAGCAGTATTTTACTTGCGTGTGATATTAGTGTTACTGTTTGATAATTTCCACATTCTGTTGGATCACCTTTCTTTGGAATGGGCACAAATATGGATCTCTTGCAGTCAGTTGGTCAGGTAGCTTTCTTTCAAATTTGTTGGCATAGGCAAGTGAGCACTACAGAGCTGCAACCATTTGTTGAAACACCTCCGTTGGTATTCTGTCAATTCCTGGAGCCTTGTTTTTTGCCAGTGCCTTTAGTGCAGCTTGGACTTCTTCTTTCAGTACCATCAGTTCTTGATTATATGCTACCTCCTGAAATGATTGAACATCAATTATTTTTGTACAGTGACTCCGTGTATTCCATTTTCTTTTGATGCTTCCTGTGTCATCTAATATTTTCCCCATAGAGTCCTTCAGTGTTGCAACTCAAGGCTTGAATTTTCTCTTCAGTTCTTTCAGCTTGAGAAATGCTGAACATGTTCTTCCCTTTTGGTTTCCTAACTGCTGGTCTTTGCACATTTCATTATAATACTTCACTTTGTTTTTCGAGCTGCCCTTTGAAATCTCCTGTTTAGCTCTTTTACTTCATCTTTTCTTCCTTTCACTTTAGCTACACTACGTTTCTGAGCAAGTTTCAGGGTCTCTTCTGCCATCTATTTTGGTCTTTTCTTTCTTTCCTGACTTTTTAATGACCTCTGGCTTTCTTCATGTATGATGTCCTTGATGTCATTCCACAACTCATCTGGTCTTTAGTCATTAGTGTTTAATGAGTTAAATCTGTTCTTGAGATGATCTCTAAATTCAGGTCATGTACTTTGGCTCTTGTGGATTTGTTTTAATTTTCTTCCTCTTCAACTTGAACTTACATTATGAGCAATTTATGATCTGTTCTACAGTTGGCCCCTGGCCTTTTTCTGACTGATGACATTGAGCTTTTCCATTATCTCTTTCCACAGATGTAGTCGATTTGATTCCCGCATATTCCGTCTAGCGAGGTCCACGTGTATAGCTGCTGTTTATGTTGTTGAAAAAAGTATTTGCAATGAAGAAGTTGTTGGTCTTGCAAGATTCTATCATGCTATCTCTGGCATCATTTCTATCACCAAGGCCATATTTTCCAACTGTGGTTCCTTCTCTTTCTCAAAAGTTTCCATCTTTCGCATTCCAATTGCGAATGATTATCAATGCATCTTGATTGCATGTGTGATCAATTTCAGACTGCGGAAGTTGGTAACAATCTTCAGTTTCCTCGTCTTTGGCATTAGTGGTTGGTGAGTAAATTTGAATAATAGTTGTATTAACTGGGCTTCCTTGTAGGCATATGGATATTATCCTATCACTGACAGTATTGTACTTCAGGATGGATCTTGAAATGTTATTTTTGACGATGAATGCAATGCCATTCCTCTTCAATTTGGCATTCCCGGCATAGTAGGCCAGGTGATTGTCTGATTCAAAGTGGCAAATACCAGTCCATTTCAGTTCACTGATGCCTAGGATATTGATGTTTATGCGTTCCATTTTGACGACTTCCAATTTTCCTAGTTTCATACTTCATAAATTCCGTGTTCCTATTATTAATGGATGTTCGCAACTGTTTCTTCTCATTTTGAGTTATGCCACAAAAGCAAATGAAGGTCCCGAAAGCTTGACTCCATGCGTCATTAAGGTCAACTGTACTTTGAGGAGGCAGCTCTTTCTCAGTGGTATTTTGAATGACTTCCAGCTGAGGACCTCATCTTCCAGTACTATATCAGACAATACTCTGCTGCTAGTCATAAGGTTTTCACTGGCTAATTTTTTTAGGCTTAGACCGCTGGGTCCTTCTTCTAGTCTGTCTTACTCTCGAAGCTCTGCTGAAACCTGTCTACCATGGGTGACCCTGCTGGTATTTGAAATACCGGTGGTATCGCTTCCAACATCATAGCAACACGCAAGCCCCCACGGTATGACAAACTGACAGACATGTGGGGATGTGGCCTGTAGTCTGTCTTTAAATTAGGTTTCCTTAGATTTGGCTTCCACAGTTCACTTCCCCCTCCTTCCAGGTTTCCCAGTTCTGATTCTGCAAAGAGTAAACATGCTTGGACCAGCCAATATTTTTGTATCAGGGCAGAGTCACCGTGGCCAGCCAAAGAGTTGGTTTTCCTCGGGCCAGGTTCCCATTGCTTGTGCAGTCAGCATTGACCTTGGTCTGAGAGCCCAATGGTTCCATCTGGCAATGTCCTTTGTGTAAGTAAAGCACTTATGTTGAAAAGGACCATGGACAGGGTGCGCAAAATGACTTGTCTGGCAGCACACATGCCTTCTCTCGCTGAAAACACTTTTTACCCCCTCGTTTTTTTATTTAGCTGACTCTTGATATGCCTCGTGACTCAACACAGTCAGTCCTCTGCAAAAAGCCTTTTTTCAGGCTTGGTTAGAGGCCTACCCTCTGCAGTTTGCTAGCTCTTTGTCTTGACCTGCCTCACACTGTCTAGTGTTTCTTACTTGTATGTCTCCTACTAGAGTGTGAACACCTCAGGCTAAGAACATAACGTTACAGGTTTGGGCCTCAATATGTGATTACTAGAGAAAGAAACTTTAAAAGGGCTTTGAGTTTTATTGAAGCGGTAGGCACAGTGTATATATTATTTAATTCCTGCAAAAGAGGCGGGTTTGGGGAAGGATTTTTTTTTTTT